ATATAATAATATACAAGATTGGTATACACTTGACACTGCAATAGTTACCTCTCTTGAATCATGGAAGTTTGTATAATAAAGTGATTTGATTGGATTGTATGCCAGCGAATACAGACAATCCCTTTATCTACAAAATTCCATGATACAAGAAAGGTGACTATTGCATTCAAGGTATAAGTATGAAGGTCGTATTGACCTTATTGACCATATTGAAAACATTTTTAGAAACCATTTAAAACGTCTAAGGAATATCAAAAACGACTTGCAAAAGAGCTCTACTACTATAAAAAATGAAAAACTATGAAAATACCTTAAGTTGGTCTTACATAATCTTCATTTAGAACCAAACAGTTCATCAAAGCTTTCTTAAATCTAAAAAAATAAAAAGATTAAAATTCAGTTCAAGAGAGTTAATGAGCTTTTTAAATCGTACTAATCTTATCTGAATATCACCGAAACTTTGTTAATCTGATTTCTGAATTAATAATTATTTGAGAAAAAATATGACAGAACTATAAGCCTTGAAAACTACTCACGTCGGCTACAATATTTTTCAACATTTGATTCGGTTTCGCTTAAATCTGAAATTATAATTAATTGAAACTAAATAAAGATCTACTTACAATGCTGCCATTTCAAAACTAGTGATGATAATACCAATGTAATTCTTTGAAAAATTCAAAAAACTTGCAGAGCAAATTGTCAAGCTTTCGTTTCTAAAGAAATCTCAGCGCTTTGTGGCAAATTATGCATATTCAATTATGACGTCATAATCGAGTTTCGTTTAAGGTTAAGAGTTTTTGATTGGTTTAGTTGAAATTGAAACAATGGATTAAGAATTAATTTAATTTTAAATTGTGGATTGTTTGTATCCGTGTCTGCATTAAATTCATTCCAATCAGTTAATTTAATCCAAAAAATAAATCAGAATGAAGATTTTCCATTTTTGTGCTGCATCTTAAAGGTAGCTGACCAAAACTTTGAAGATTTCACCCTGAATTGGCGGTAGGCTACAAAAATGACCACAATTCCTGTGGAGTTATTTTATATGTATATGCGACAAATACCTAAAGCCGCCGAATATGACCCCAAAAATAAGAAAAATAAATAATGTAGAAAAAAAGAGCAAATCTTATATATCTGAAATATACAGATGATATTTGAAGATGTCTCTTATCCTTTCCCATATCCCTTCTTTTATTGTGAATAACTTTTATTTATTTTTTAGGTATATGAATTCCGAAATCAGATTCAATGAGAATTTTATTATCTGCCATGTCAAAAAGTATATATTTAAAATAAAATGTGTCATCTCATGCTAATTATATTAGAATTTATTCTTAGATATATTATTTGATGATTTAACATTTAAAATAAACATTTCGGACTGTGAAATCGTATTTTCCAAATAATCTTTTTTTATTAGTTGGGATCTCTTGCTGCTATTTTTAGCATTGCAAGGATGCCTTACTTCCGGTTTAGGATTTCCCCATTTCCGGTGTCATGGTTGATGTTTTTAAACTTCGGTATTACGGACCCATTTTAGACGATTTTTATAGCAATGAAAAACTCATATGAAAAAAGGGGTTTGTATTTTTTCTTTTTTGATTTATTAAGTCTGAAACATTTTAGATTCTCCCAATATCAGAGAAAATAGTGCTTCCATGGACGCAATTTTCTCTTTCTCTTCTCTGAGTCTGATTCTCGCAGACTCATATGATCTACACTTATTCTTAGTGTCTGTTCAACACTGTTGAAACATCTTTTTTCTAGATAATTTTGCTTTACAAACAGTGTTGAAAAAAGTATTAATAAAAGGCTTATACTGCTTGGTGCAAAATGAAAGACGCTGAATTAAACTAAGTTTGGCGGTTAAAGTTTTTAATTCTTAATCAAGTTTTGGCTTTTTAATTCACCATATTTTTTTTTTTCAGGTACAGCTGACTTTCCACCGATAAAAAGTTTTGCTAGCTTTGAATAGGTATCTATGATCTAAATATCTGCATATTCTACTGTCCAAGTAAACAGAAATAATTGCAATTTGATAAATAGATAATGGTTTTTTTTTTCCACGTTAATTACCCAGTATTGAGTATTATAAATCTCTGTAAATTTCCTTTAAATATCCAATTTTAAAACCAATATTTAACTCATTATTAGCTCATATTATATGTCATTGGACAGTGGTATATCATTGTTTGTTTATTAGTGTTTAAGCCCTCAAGGCGTATGTGACATAAGTTTAGGTATTTTTATCTTCACAGTTGTCAATCTTCATTTATTATCATCATTCTTTACTGGGTGTGTGTGTGATACATAGTGTATGTTTAACTTACAATCAAACATACAGTGTAGACTGAATAAGCTGTACAAATGAAGGCTCCAAAAAGAAAGATAATGCGACTATTAAAGATAAGTGTAGCTGTTATAATAATAAGTGTAGTGATATTCACTTTAAGATTATTGTATCATAAAAAAATGATTTTGAAGTTATTTTCATCCAATATTCAACTTGGTGATTTTGAAGTTGATAGTACTGCTGGAGTCTATACTTTATCTCAAACTGGTGAGGAGTATTTATCAGCTAGATTTTCTAGAGTTCTTCTGGAGAAATCTACAACTAATTGTGAATTGAAAAATGAAAAGAAACCAACATTATGTCTGGAATGGGAAGATTTAGTTAGATTAGAGGTGACGGAATCAACTCACGATGACAATATTAATTGTTTTAATATAGTGTGGAAGCCTATTTCAAATCATTTTATACCATTAGATTGTTTGAAATTGTCTGACTATCATTGGTACGGCATGGGAAGTTTAAAATCTCAACAGTGGCCATTGGAAGAAAACTCTTTTGATTTCCAGGCATATATTTCATCTGATTTGACACAAAATGAACAATTTGGACCAATGATTGAAAGATACTGGATTAATTCTAATGGAGTAGGAATATTTGTGGATAATTCTGTTCCGTTATTCGTGAGTTTCAACAACAAACAAGATAATTCATTGTGTTTCAAATCAGATTATGATAAAGGTGTTTATACAAGAAAAAATCAATTTCCAGTTTTAAAATATTCAATATGTAAAGCCAAGAATGTGAGAAAAGTGCATGATTATCTTTCAAAGAAATGTTTTGATTTACCTACTGCATCTCCTGATGAGGACATTATGAAATTTCCAAAATGGTCCACATATTCTAGATTTCAGACAAACGTGACCCAATTTCATGTTCTGAACCTTGTAAATAGCATAAATAAAAATGGCTTTTCATCCAGTCAAATTGATATTGGAGTCGGTTATGAAAGGGAAATTGGTGATTTTAATTTCAATGACAAAAAATTTCCAAACGCTCATCAAATGATTGGAGAGTTAAAAGAAAATAAATTTAGAGTGACAACATCGGTGAATCCAATAATTTCTGTCAAAACAAAAAACTACCAAATAGCCAGCAAAGAAGGATATTTAGTTCATAATAATGGTGCACCTTACAATTTCATTTTTCAATCAAAGAATGTATCCATCATTGACTTGACTAACTCTGAAGCTGCCAAATGGTTTAAAACCAAGTTAAAATCCATTCTAACTGATCATTTAATAGATAGTTTTAAATTTAATTTAGGTCAAGCTAGCTTCCTTTCAACTCTAGATAAAACAAGGACATTTAGTGAAATACATAATCCTTGTGAATACACAACAAAATATGTTGAGTTAGCTCAAACATTTGATAGCAGAGTAATTGTTCAAAGTGGTTATCAAACACAAAAATTTCCAATTTATATTGAAATTCCAGAACACATTGCCAGTTGGAGTAAAGACAATGGTCTCCCCAGTATCATTCCAACAGTCATAACATATGGATTATTAGGTTATCATTTTGTGATACCAGGACCAATAGGTGGTATATCACTTGTCAATGACAATAATAAACTAAAACTTCCAAATAGAAATCTTTACATTCGCTGGATACAATTGGCAGCTTATCTCCCAGTAATGGAGTTTTCAGTGGCACCATGGCAGTATGATGATGAAGTTGTGAAAATTGCTAAAGAATTTGTTTTAATTCATGAAACCAAAGTTCTTCCACATCTTATCTTGGCTTCTAAAGAATCACAAGTAAATGGTAAGAACTGTACTTTCACAAATCTTGAATTTGAATAGATTATGAAAGCAATACTAACTCTTAGAATTACCAAAAATTGGCTAAAATGATTATATATTCACAAAATTCTCTAAAACCTCAAATTTAATGCATTTATAGTCATATATACAGGAATTCTGCTATAAAAATATGACATCTGGTAATTTTATGTTCATTCTTAGAGAAAGTATTACTTTATCTGACGATTTGGCACTTGTTGATGCAATAACTATTTCTCCGTCCTCAGAGGAAACTAAAATAATATTTTTCAAAATAAGGAAACTGATTATGATTTCCATTTTCAACTTTTCTATATAATTTGCAATATCTATTTTCAGGATCTCCATTAATACGTCCAGTTTGGTGGATAGCACCTCAAGATAAAACAGCATTAAGAATAGATTGTGAGTTTTTAGTTGGTGATAATTTATTAGTAGCACCAATACTAGAAGATGTTGCTGTACGAGATGTTTATTTACCTGAAGGTAGTCTATGGGAAGATCAGTCTAGTTCTAAACGTCATGAAGGTGGACAATGGTTAATAGAGTATTCAGCTAATATATCACATATACCAACATTTATTAGACTAAAAACTCCATTATAGTTATTTTCAAACTACTACTCTTTGCCATTTTTGAAGTAATTTGATAGCATTACCATTCTTTTACATAATCTTCAGTGATACCAGAATGTCAAAAGTGTATATAGTCACACAGTGTTTGCATAGCATTTTAAATACAACGGTCTCAGAAGTTTTGTTGTCTTTCCTGATTCACCTGCTGAGTATCTTAGATCGAGTTTCATCAGCGATAAAAAAAAAAACCATGGGAACAATGATTTAAGGGTTATTGTGCAATGGTTTAAATGCCATTTTAATCAAAATTTACCTTTATAGCATTCCTTTGTGATATTAATATTTTTCTGGTATAAAATACCTAATATTTTATTATATAAATATGTAAAATTATTTTTGTAATAATATGAATGAATTGTGAGAATAAACTTTACGTTTTATTTTGTAACTTTAAAGGTTGTTTTGTATGCAATTATTGAAGTCATATGAAAGATTGTCAATTCCAAAAGTTGTTATCCACAGCTTAAAACTAACAGCATCAAAACACTTTAACAGTAATGATCTAGTCCTTGGTGGTGGGCCCAATTAGCTTACAGTTTTTGCCACATCTTCAAGTGCTCAGTTTTCTGTATTCGCTAGCATACTATATTATCAAATTGCTGCATTTACAAATTCTGTTAATACATGAAAGTTAACTGTTGCAGTCAAAGTATTAGACACAGTTCAAAATAGATTGACACGGGGATGATAAGTAATTGTTCAGATCAAAAAATAGTCACACCTTAAGTTAAAGAAAGACTTATTTTTAACATTAAAAAATGTTGGGTTAAACTAAGTGTTAAACTATTAGAGAGTTAATAATAAAATGATCAAACAATTCCAAATTTTATTTTCATTAAAGGAGCAACTATCAAAACAATGACTACTTGAATGAAGAAACATATCACCAATATTAGGCAGTTGTATATTATGTTATGGATGATCAAAAGGGAAATCCAAATTTATTCAAACAACATTGCAGTTTCCTGAATGGCCAGATCGACTTCCAATGTTTCCATTTGCATAGGTTAAGTCTCGATATGCTTAAAGCACACAGCAGAAAATCCAAAAATAATGCTAAATCAATGCTCTGATAAAAAACTTTGGTTTATGCAAAATGAACATTAATGTTTATATAAAATGATAAAATAATACAAAAACAAAACAAGCAAAATATACAAACAAAATAATTGTAAAATATAAAAAAATCTATCACAGTTGTTATGTCATTTAACATGTTATTAAGCTAATTCAAATTATTAACAATTAGAATAAAAGATAATTATCACAGTAATAATTAGTAAATAACTTCAATTAACTAATTCAATATTATCATCTGAAGGCATTTTATCTTCTTTCATCAGGCAATAGGTTCGCCTTACTAACCATCTGAGAGGTCTATAGCCAGTGAAACACAGTGCTATATCTTATAGCTAACCCACTGATATATGACTGAAACTTAGATATAGATTTTTTGCATTTAGGAACTATGGAAAGAAATATGCCATTTGTGGTAACTGTACAGCACTTAAAACATGAAGAGTAACAAATGATATAATTACAATGATAATAATGATCAATTTTATCTCAATAAGGCATAAAATGATGCTATAAAGGCAATAATAAATGTTTAATGTGTCTATTTAAGTTTGCAATTTGACCTTTGGTGAGACAGTTATAGTACAAACTAATATAACATAAGTTTAACTTTATATTCAAGTTTTTTATTATAAATATCATTATTTCACTAGTTTTAGGACCTACATTTAACTGTTTTATTTAAAACTGACTCTTTTTGTGTATTCAGCATAAGTTGTGTCAGGATGTCTGCATACCTCTAAAGATCTTGTAGTATCACCATATGTATTACCAAACGCATATCTTCTCTCTTAGAATGGAAAAAATAAAAATCTTTCAATCAAAATCTTGTGATCAAAATGAAAAGTATGAATTTTAACTTTAAACTGTTTTTTTTGTTAAGTGTAATTGTGGTATATGAAATACTTACGAGGTATATATCCAGTATAGTTTGGTATCATACCATCATTGGCATATAATCTCCTTCCAAACAATGGGGCACTACGTGGTGCATTAGATGTTACTGGTCTATATAAAGAAAAATCAAATGAAAATTACTATCAAAAAGAATAGCTGGTGCTTAGGCTCTCATGATCTAACATAATAATGCCTCAATAATTTTCACTGCCCTAATTGAAAACAGAATGGTGGTAGCCCTCTAATAGTGGGTGTACAAAAAAAGGGCAGACTGACTTGAACAGCAGTCGAGGTTGAGATTCAAAATGGGGCAGCTCTGGAAATACCATAGGTGCAAGCGTCTGAGCATCTAAGAACCCCAAGTAAATTTTTGAAAAATATAATTTGGTGCATTCTGACACATATTTTGGAGCAAAAACGTATGAAAATCATATTTTCAAATTTGTTAAAAATGAAACAGGGTACAAACTATTTTTATAGGGCTGCCACCACTGAGTGTGCACAATAGCATTTAAACTACACCACTTTTATAAAACAAAATACAAATTGGCCCAGCCAAATTAGTATGGATTGCCACAAATTATTGTAGTGAAAGTTTTTACCTGTCAATTGATATAGGTTCAGCTTTAGATAAGTTACCATGTCTTCTTGTTTCATTGATAAATTGTTCAAAACCTAATTTAGTACTTTCATGAAATCTCTGACCTAGACCAATCTCTGTAGTTCCTATTCTAGGTACATAACCTTGATAACCAGGAATTGGTGCTTCATCTAATGGTCTTTTTACTTCTGCAATAAAGTAACAATTGAATCCTCCATTAAAAAGAAATTAAGAGATATTTAATTCCAACATCAAAGAATTCATGTACATCATTTTCAGTTTTGATGTAATTCTGAACCTGATGTGACAGCCTTCAGGCATTAAAATTTTAATCTGGCCCTGAGGTCTAATTTGATTACAATGCCAGTGGTATTAGCCATTTTATCATTCAATCAGATTCTTATGTTAGGTAACTAGGAAGATTGGTTTCTAGATCACCAGTTTGAGCAATAAATACAGACATCATACAAAAACATATCGGTTTCTCCAGATCATAAAAAAAATTGAATAGGGTAATTTTTAAGCTTTTTTGGAATATTGAATGATAGCATTTATCCAATTATTTTTTAATTTTAACACAATTATTTACAAACACTTTTCAGTGAACATCAGTAGCTTGTAGCTCTTTTTCAGGAATAATAAAAATTTATTACTATTGTATTGTTAACTTACCCACAACAGTAGAATGGTCATCTCTATATTTATTAAGTTTATCTCGAACATCAGGATCATAAGATATTGCTGTTAAACGTGGATAACTACGCATTTGTCTTTTTAAATCTTGTAATTTCAAGTCATGGGTTTGAGTGCTGCTCATAAATTCATCAATACAACTGTCACAGTCTTCTTTATAGGTACCACCAAATTTAAATGGCATTCTGGGTATGTAACCTGTATTTAATTTTAAAACTATAAGGTGACATGTGGCAGGGGTTTGGAGCAGAGACATGGCTGTTTGTTGAAATTATTGGCCATGGATTCCACAAGGATTCAAAGAATGATAACCTTAAGATGAAAAATGTCTTTTTACACAAAGAATAAGTTCAGGACATATAAATTAAATAATTTTTGAAAATGCACTAACCTGTGTAACCAGCCACCATTTTTTCTGTATATTTATTTTCTCCATTAGATTTAGGTAATGTATTTCTCAATGTAGGAATATCAATAGGCTCTGTTAGAGTAAATGTATTTCTAGCATTAGGAGAGTTTTCCTAAAGTAAAGAAAGAGAAATACAATACTGATTCAAAAAATCAAAGGGCTTTAAATGAGGTCAATAAGATAGGTCTGTCAATAAATATAAGGTAATCTATGAGTGAATAGAGATATTAATCCTATGATAATAAACAGTATATTATCTGTGTATGATATATAGACACTAATAATACCACCTTTCATACACACTTCTATACCCTTTAACTTAATACCAGACACTAACCAGGACAAATACAAAGACAACAAAATGTAAGGTTTAATATTCATTGGTTAATGCTGTAAGAGCATCATTTCGGTTTTCTAAAAGCCAATGCCAATTGGCTGTGGTAGCGGTGATGTCATAAACCTGGTATCAATGCCAAAAAATCCTTAATACCTGCCATAGAATTAATTTGATGTAGTTTTTGGTGCAAGAATTTGACTCTTAAGATTTAGAAAGAATAAAAGCAATTTATTACTTTGTCAAACTTACAACTAAAAGTCTATGCGTATCTGTACCATATGTTTTGCCAACTCTATACTTCAACTGTGGTACATAGCCTTTGTATCTGAAATATCAAATAGAATTACAGAAGCATTTAGCATCTTAAATAATAGTCACCAATTATTTTGTTATGGCAATTTTATACTTATATTTTACACAAGTGCCAATTGGAGATTAAATTTACCACTTGTTCCATTATTCAAAAGCTTATAGGTCTATATAAAGATATTTAATGTTAATATGATGGCTAAATAAGTTACTTTTTACATTCAGCATCTGTATCATTTAAAAATGACAACAATATTTACCCAGGTACTTGCGTTCCCTCTTTTAATGCAGCAAAATTTCTTCTCTGTTCCACAGTAGGTCCACCACCAAAAGCAATGGTAGTCATTTTGGAATTTTCACGATTTTATACGTCTGTAGCAAATGTCTTGGAAATAGGTTTCTGTGCACACCTAGCCTATTGCATGTAATAATAAAAATCCAACAAAATATTCTTGTTCACAATTTTCTTCAGAACAAAAAAAAAGTTGTTTCGGCTGTGCTTCTTGCTTCTTTTATTTCTTGGACAATGAAGATTACAATCTAAACCATTGCTTTATGGTGTTTGCACCTACTGTTGGTTGCTAAGGATAGAAACCACCGTTATTAAATTGTTAGCCAATTATAAAACAGGTGTGTTGTCAGGTTGTTGCTAAAGTTTGTTTACACCTGACTTCATATAACGGAAGTTGGCAATTATTGAATTGATGCGCATGCGCGTATAGTACTGATTTATAGTTTGTTTCATTTTAGTGGCTTTTAACAAAAACGTTTGATAAGAGTTATATAACTCTATAACGCTATGTTGGCAATAATGAATATTCAATAAAATGTTGCTTGTCCGAATGCAATTTACCTCCATATATGTTCAGAATCCGGGAACAAATAAATTTGCATTATTTATAGCCAACTCTTGTACCATATCTTTCGGACCAATGAATATCAATTTGAAAAATTATGGCTATTTCAATGACTGAAAAAATGCTACGTGAAGCGGCAAATTTAGTTCTGTTGGCTGGTAAAACACAGTTT